TTTAAGCTTGTATAAATAAAAGCTAAATAAATCCTGATGGCCTCTAGTGATGGCTCAGATACAGCAGCAGCAGCAGTGTGTGTGTGTGTGTGTGTGTGATGTGTGTGTTTGCAGAAACACTTTGGATAAGAACTGAGGTGTTTGTGTGTGTGTATGACAAGAGTTTGAAAAGACACACACACACACACTCTCACACAGCCCGCGGCTGTTTTCTCATTCATGTTTTTGTCCCAAAGTGAAATTAAAAAAAGAAAATTATAAAAAGCCAGCAGACCAATGTCACCCGACACTGCGGTGTAAAATATTCTCCCTCTTTCCTCTTCTGTTCCACTTCTTTTCATTCTCTTCTGTCCCCATTATAATCAATTGCTACATTCATTTATTTATTTTTTATTCCTATTTTCCTTTCCTCGTTCTTATATTTCTATTTCTTTATTCTCTCCTCTTTACTCGTCTTTACCACAATGGTCAAATCAAATGGTGTTTGTGTCCACCTGCTGAATTTAAGTCCAACATTCACTCTTCTTTTTGCTCTGTGTTTGGTCTCCACCACCTCCTGATGGAAATATCTTTATGAGATAAATACTCGACTGTTTCCACCAGCTGGTCTCTGACTGAGTCTGTCTGCTGTTTGCTGCTGAGCAGGTCATGCATAGAGGCGTTTTACAGCGTTTTCCTGTGAAATGATGCTTTTAGAGCGGTGAGCAGTGTTGATTGAGTTGGTCGGTGGAAAATAGCGTTGGGCGTTGATGAAATTTGGGCTTCTTTTGGTCAGAATGTTACCAATATATTACCAAACCAAGTCATTTATTGGCAAAAACACAGAGACTCTTCCACTAATTCATATTATCGACTCTGAATTTCAGAAATATGTGACTGCCATGAGTTGTTTTCAACTGTCGTCATCATTGAAATGGGAATTTGTGCATTTGGTTGTCCAACTGCACTACTTGTGGGTTGTGATAACCTATTTATCTAACATTTTATCTTTGCTTATTTGATGAGTTTTTTTTTATCATATTTGGCAGGTTTTAAGTTGTGATTGGGCTGGAAACCTTCAATCTGATTTGGCAACACTGGCGATGAGAGTGAACCAGAACCGTGCAGATAAGCGTTGAGCTGAAACTCACAATTACAAGCTGAGGGGAGCTGCAGTTCATCACCAGCATATTGGCCTATCCTTATTGTTAAAATATAGATTATTGCATCTTTAAGGTTAGGAAAAGATGGTGGTCATGGTGAAAGGAAACCATCAGTTGAGAGGGAACACTGTCTCCTAGAAAATAAAGTACATGTCTTTATGTATTACTCCTACTGTTTGGAACATATACACAGAGGCTTAAACACTCACAGTGACTCATGATAACAATCATTATAATGGCGCTTTAGTTTCCAGTGTAGAAGATTATAAGCTGCAGATGGAAATCTTGGAAAATATTATGTGGTGATTTTCGTGTTTTAGCCTCATTAGTGGGATTCCAGGCTGTTCTTTGGTTCTCCGGCTGATAAGTTAAAACAGTGGTGGTCAAGCTAAAACAAAACGGTTCCATTTTTAAACTTAACAGTTGTCTTCCTTCGTTCAGGTTGAGTCCCGGTAACTTTCCTTGAACATACATCATTGTCAAGTGTCACTGTACATCCTGCAGGGACTTTCTCTTCACTCACAGATTACATTATTTCCCCTCCCTGCTGTCGTTCATGTGGTTTTTAGAAGCAGAAGAGTGATAAGGAGAGATAACAGCGAAAAAAAAGATTCTCCCCACTGCATTGTTTTTAGTATCACGACTAAGCAGGTCTAGTTTAGCTGGTTTTCTACTGAAAATAGTTTGTCAGTGATTGTAATTCTGGAATTCAGGTGAACGTAAAAAAGTAATGTATGTCAATGGGAATGTTCTCGCTGTATGGTGCCGTTGCTTTTTAACATTAGCTAAAAGATCTGCTGGTTGTGTTTACCTTTTGAATGTTTAATTAAAGTAAATCATGCTGCTTCACAGTCTATTCATTTCAAGCCAGTCGACGGAAAAATACTTGTTGACATTGTAAGTTTCTGCAAATCATGGGATACGTTGAATGTCGAAGTTTCTGACCAAAAAATATGTTTTATAAATATGTTTGATGATGTTTTATATCAGCCTCATATCACGGTTGCAGAGATGCATACGTTGGAAGCGATTGGTTTGGTTTAGGCAACAAAAGTACTTAGTTTACGGTAAAATAAAGAAGAAAAAGATCATGGTTTGTGTTAAAAGGATAACTTAACAATGTTTGCAACAAAGTAACGTAACAAAGTGACGTGACGAAGTGACGTGACAAAGTGACGTAACAAAGTAACGTAACGAAGTGACGTGACGAAGTGATGTGACGAAGTGACGTGACGAAGTGACGTGACGAAGTAGGGTATGATTTAGGGGCGGGGCTACCTTGTGATTGACAGGTCGCTACCACAGCGTTTTCGTTTTTCAACTTTAACCCTTTCACAGCGTGTTTTCACTTCATGTAAATTAATTACAATATTTTGGTCGCCCGAAAAAATGTGTTATTTCGCGTTACTTCTGGTTTCAAAAACCAAGATGGTGACAGCCAAAATCCCGAAGTCAAGGCTTCAAAACCGCTAACCTCTCTCTCTCTCTCCATCCCTCTCTCTTTCTCTCTCCGTCCCCCTCTCTCTGCCCCCCTCTCTCTCTCTCTCTCTCTCTCTCTCTCTCTCCTGGGGGATGAAAAGCATTTAGCAGACAAGTTTTTCCACTTTTTTGTCCTCTCCGACTCTTCTCACCTCCTCTTCTTCCATCCCACCCTCTCTTACTCTTCCTCCTCTCCTCACATGTGCCCTTTTTTGTCTCCTCTTCCTCTCCACATCCCAAAATCCAAGATCATAACGGTCATTATAACCCCGCAGAGAGATATTCACCTCCGCTAAGACCTCATCTCTCTCTGTCTGCCTCTCTCTGAGTCCAGCTTGGCTTTGATCATTATTAGTCCTGAGAGACGACTTATTGCCCTCGTGTCTCTCTCTTCATCTCTCTGTTCCTTCTTACTTCCTCTCACCTTTTTTACCGCTCATTCCTCCTTCGTTGTACTTCTTCACTCTTAAATTCTTATTTGTGTGCTTTATTTTTTTTTTATCCCTTCCTGGTCCCCTGAGGGGGGAAACACACACTACTGTGGAAGGTAGTACATCTACTGAAAGACACTACAGGTGAATGGGGTCAAATATTCAACTAATAGATATCATCATTAAACTTCACCGGTTCATTAATGACATTAAGATGATTATTTTATGTATTACAAGTTTTCTGAAATGTTACGTTTAAATATGTAAATGAGGCATTATGTAATGGTAACTTTTGGTGAATTTAGGAGAAATCTACAGGCGTAAACAGATAAAGTAATAAAATAAATGTTTTATTTCCAGTCGTCTGAAAAAAGACGAGTTATGAAAGAAAAATAAACCAAAAATCGTACAATCAGTAAATGAAGAACAATGTTTTTGCCCTTTTTACTTCACTTGTCATTTCAGAAAATGAATTAGAAACTTTTAACGCCAACTTACTCAGTGGTTCCAGTTTCTTGAATGTGAAGATGTTGCTGCTTTTCATTATAATATTGTTGATAATATTAGTAATAATGTCGAGGTTTTGGTCACTTTGGGTAATTGTGATGAACATTTCTCACTATTTTCACTATTTTTACAAACACATCAATCGATTAATGGAGAAAATAATCAGCAGATTAATCCATAATAAAAATAAAGTTAATAGTTTTAATATGAGCTCCAGCTCGACAACTAAAACAGTAAAATCCTGCTTTTACAGCTAAAATATTCTAATGATAGAACATCTAACAGTAGAACAGTCGATTATTCACACAAATTTAAATTATTTCTTTCTTTTTAAAAAACTTTTCTTTCTCCGTCTCGTCGTCTCTTTTCTCTTTCATTCAGTCAGGGTTCAACGTAATGAGATTACACGGGATTATCAACCCCCGTCTGTCTGTAATCCACACCGCTCAATCCCATTTCACTGTTTAACACACACACACACACACAC